AGAGCCGGGATTACGTGCACACAGCCAGACTGGAGAGGCAGAGCCGGGATTACGTGCACACAGCCAGACTGGAGAGGCAGATGATGGCTCTGTGGGAGACAGCTGCTGCCAAGCCTGAGGAACTGGGTTCTACTTCCCCAGGACCCACATAGCAGGAGGGGAGAATCAACTACCACAGGACATGCTCTGACCTCTGAATGTGCGCAGTCAAATGTAATAATTTAAAAATCACCCGGTGTACCACCATGCTCAGTTCCGTGAACAGCAACCTCTCTAGGCTGGTGGGAAGCAGTACAGACTCCACTGCCTTTAAGGACGAACTGATGAACATTAGCGGCTGTTGGTGCTCCTGCCCCGAACCCCAGGCTTGGGCTCCACCCCCATGGCCCCTGCACCTGGTCCTCTCCCTTCTCCTGGGGGCAGTACTCTACCCTGGTCCCTTCCAAGGCCGCCGCCGCTCTCCCCACTGCTCAGACCCCTCCTCCGCACTGAAGGGGCCTCGCCTCTGCTCCCACACTGCCTCTCCTTGAGAGTCCTTGTCAGAGCGGACTGACTCCCTTAGTAGGAGTAGTCCTTCTAATCCAGCCAAAGTAGCTCCAGCTTGCAACCAAACTCCATGTGGCTGTTCTGTGTGCCAGACTGCAGCGTCCTTCCCACAGTGCTGCACAGTCCTTCCACAGAGGCCAGGAGAAACCCTGAGAGGAGCCAGGATAGGGCTACACGCCTATACTCCCAGCCAGACCAGTCTCTCTCTCTCTCTCTCTCTCTCTCTCTCTCTCTCTCTCTCTCTCTCACTCACTCACTCACACACACAAACACAAGGCTGGGTGGCTGGCAAGGGTTGGAACTTGCCGTGGTGCACCTGGGTCATGGTACTCACCCCGCCACGTGACAGTGAGCTCACCCCACCATGCTGGAAGCCCCTCCCCCACAGCCCTCAGGCTGTGGCCTGGCAAACCTCCTAGCGTCTGTCTGCCCCACTCGGGCTCCCTCCAGTTTCTGGTTTTCCCAGACAGGGTTTCCTCTGGGTAGCCCTGGCGATCCTGAAACTCACTCTGTAGACCAGGCTGGCCTGGAACTCAGAGATCCTCCTGCCTCACTTTCCAGTGTACTTGGTTATATCGAAAGTCTAGTGAGACCCAGCCTATACCCCTCAGCCCAGTCTCCTGAGGCTCCAGGCTGACTGGGGTGAGTGTGCTGCTGGGGAGTCAATCTACAGCTATACTTGTGCTACGGAAACGCTACCACTCAGCTATCTTACTTTTCTTTTTTTTTTTGAAAAAGGCTTTATTTTAGCCCAGGCTAGCCTGGACCTCATGGTAGTCCTCCTGCATCAGCCTCTTCTCAACTGTTAAGATTACAGACATGAGCCACCATGCCCAGCTCTTCTTTTTACTCACCCAGACAGGTCTTGAATTCTGACCCTCCTGCTTCAGCCTCTTAAGCAGCTGGGGAAACAGGACTATACTAGCAGGCCTGGTCCCTTAGGGGAATTTTTGTGTATATGTGTGAGTGTGGGTGAGGCTGCATGGCCAAGGGTCAACCTCATATGTTGTTCCTCAAGCCCTGCCCCATCCTTGGTTTTTTTTTTTGACACGATCATTAACTGGGCCCTAAAGCTAGCAAATTAGGCTGGACTGGCTAGCTAAAAGCCTCAAAGATCCAATTATCTCCACCTCCCAGCACTGGGATTATAGGCATATACTGCCATGCCCAGCTTTTTCTGTGGGTGTTAGGAATCAAACTTGGGTCCTTATTGCTTGCCTAGCAAACACTTTCCACCTACAGTACCTCCTCAGTGTGGCTCCTCATATCCCCCATGGAGCTGGCCTATGCCCCATGCCTGCTTCTCTGCCTGCCCATTCAAGTCTCCTGGGCTTTGCCCCAAACCAGTCAGCCAGTTACAGCCTGAGGCTCCTGCTCACATCACAGGTCCCCATCCATGGCCTCCCTCCAGGCCTTGCCCTTGCTGCCCCTCCTGTCAGGCAGACTTCCAGGTTCCAGCAGCAGCCTGAGTCACTCTCCCCACTCCAGGCTTCCCCATCCTGCGTGGACAACCTGACCACTCTGTGCAGACTCCTGTCGTCACAGCCTCCACCCTCGGAGCTGCCCCTTTGGTTTTGTATCTGTCACTCCACTGAACAAGGAGACCTGTGGGGGTAAGAATCAGGACAGACAGAGCCCCCACCCCAGCTGAAGCACATGCCTATCCCAGAGGAACTGACCGAGGAGCGGCTGACTGACTGAGGGTTCAAAGCTAGGTGTGCACCTGTCATCTCGGCACACTCCAAATTTGAAGGCAGGAGATCTCTGCAAGTTTGAGGCCCGCCTGGTCTACAGACTAGTGTCAGGATAGCCTGTACTACTGAGTGATACCATCTCAAAAGAGCTTTAAAAAATGTTCTTAGTTGGGTATTGGTAGCTCCAGCCTTTCATCCCAGCACTCGGGAGGCAGAGGCAGGTGGATCTCTGTGAGTTTGAGGCCAGCCTGGTATACAGCGTGAGATCCAGGACAAGCACCAAAACTGCACAGAGAAACCCTGTCTCGGAAAACCAACCAAACAACCAAACAAAATGTTCTTGTGGGGAATTAAGCAGAGCTTGGTCACAAAGTATCTAGAAAGTTCCTTACCAAGCAGAGTTCCAGCTGATCACAGAGAGCATAGAACTCCTCCAGACACTTGTCAAATCGCTGTATGGGTCCATCACTGCTCTTTCTACGGCCAAGGAGAAAAGGCTGTTTGAGGAATGATTTCCAATCTCTGGGACACCAGCATCAGTCTAATCAAGTGGCCACCAACAAATCAAGCCCCGGCCCAGGGGGATCCCGACAAGGCTTGAAAAGGAGAGGGCGGGCGTAGGGGAGGAGTTTGTAATGCTGACGCTGAGGAAGGGAAAGAGCCTTTACTCACTGTCCGTTGTCAATGTTAGTGTTCTGAATCAGGTTCTGGGCTGCAACCTTCATCAAAGTCTAGTTTTGAAAGAATAATGAGAGAGAAAAGTAAGATGCAGGAGATGAAGTCAAGGAGGATCTACACTTTTTCTTTTCGAGACAGGATTTCTCTGTGTAGTTTTGGAGTCTGTCCTGGATCTCGCTCTGTAGCCCAGGCTGGCCTCGAACTCACAGAGATCTGCCTGCCTCTGCCTCCTGAGTGCTGGGATTAAAGGCGTGCGCTACCACCGTCGCCCGGCCGGATCTATGCTCTTGAGACCCTTGAGCCTTGTTTCAGCTGGCGCCTTCATCCTGATAATACAGACTACAGCTCATTGCCACCTCTACAGAACTCTCTCCCGGTATTTTCCTAGATGCTTACTCTCATTTGGAATTCTCACCAGCAACTTCCTAGGCATACCCTTTACCCAGTCGGCACAGCCAGGAACGACGCGGAGGCCGGTCTTCTGCAGAGGACTTAACGACCACAACTGTTTCTCCCCCATAAACTCACTCACTCTTCCCCGCTCCTCCTTTGGTTTTCAAGACAGGGTTTCTCTGTGTAACAGCTCTGGCTGTCCTAGAACTCACTCTGTAGTGCAGGCTGGCCTCGAACTCAGAGATCCGCCTGCCTCTGCTTCCCGAATGCTGGGATTAAAGGCGTGCGCCACCGCCCGGGTAAAATTCTTCTTTCCCATTCATTCTCATTTTCTCTCTTCTGTGTAGCTCTGGCTGTCCTGGAACTCACTCTGTAGACCAGGCTG